TCTTGATTCCGGTAAACTCGAGTATTACCAGAAGCTACTGATTGGAGTGGGCCCGGTTGGGGTATGTTTGGTGGAAGGGATGGGAGTGAAGTGGGTTCTACGGTTGGTTCTCTTAACATTGACGGAGGGTCAATGAGGTTGGATCAAGAATGTAAGCATGGAAATGGGCTCTTGAGAGCCGTCCGTATCCTTTTACCGACTTGTTTTATTTCTTAATTGTGTACTTGAAAATGAAAGATTTTGCTTATGTGATCTTTGTTGCTTATGTGGTAGTAACTCACTGGGCTTAAGCTCATTCCGTTCCATTTGTTTTCCTTACAGAAAAATGATCACTTATGGAAAAGTCATACTTGTTGGTTGCCAAATTGAGCTCATGTACATGTATATTTTGAACGGCTCTTTGAATGAAACCCTAATGTGTATTGGTTTCATTTTCTTTTGATTGGCAAACCGAATATGTATATTCATGATGAATAACTTTGGCATGGTCATTTGATTGTAAATGTTGAATTTCAATATATATATATGTTTGGATAAGGTTTGGTTGGATTTCGTATTGATACGCATTTCAAACGGAAAAGGAAAAATTTTGGCGTGAATGAACAGTACCGAATCCGGCCAGGAATCCGGCCAGAAACTGGCCGGATTGCCCGGCCGGATTGTGAAGGTTTTTGGAAAAAAAATGGGCTACTCTCGGCCTTGTATCCGGCCGGAAATCCGGCCAGATTCTGGCCGGATTCTGACGTGTCCGACACTATTCATCGTCGGCTTCGATTTTTTCGTTTTTTTTATTTTGTGATTTTGACTTGTTTGCGCGCGTTGGTATGTACCGGAACGTATTAGATCGACGTAAACTGATTCGTAGTCCTGGCGAGAGCTGGGCAGGCAGTCCGCTAACCTCTTTGGTTCGCCTTAGGGGAAAGTGGGGCTGTCACAGATATAAAGCATCATTTCATTCGCGATCTTGTCTCAAAGGGGGTAATCCGTGTTGAGTTTGTTTGTTCTAAAGAACAGATTGCTGATATCCTCACAAAAGCTCTTCCACTAGATCAATTTGTGTCTTTTGAGGACTAAATTGGGTGTTTCAGAAAAAATGTTCTGGGTCTTATTTCTAGTCAATTTTTATCGGACGTCCGATGAATTGGAACGGACGTCCGACAGAGTTCTTCATCCAAGGTCCAGAAAAACCCTGGTTCGGACGGTTGTTTCGGACGCATCACTTCGTTCGGACGTCCGACACTCAAAAATGTGTCCTATAAGGCAGTTACCCACTCTTCTAAATTCATTTTCCTTCTTAAGTCTCGGACGCGACCTTTCAGTTTCTCTAAAATTTGAAATTCAAATTCCTCTCTCCTCAAACCAAGTTCCGAAAAATTGACTCAACCAACTCTATTACACCTCTCTTGCTCATTAACCACTCATAAAAGGCACTCCTAACACCCAACTACCCCAAAATTCCCAATTTACATACGAAACCCTAACCTCATATAACCCTCTCCTTGCGGCATCATAGTGCACTCTTGTTGGCTCTTACTGTTTTTTTTTCTATACACAACATTCTGCATTAAAAATCATATCCACATTGCATCATGGTTAGAATGAGGGGAGGATCTACTAGTGTTGGACGGTCTTTTAAGCTTAGGGATGAAGACATTGAAATTGTTGATCCACCTCCTGTGGCACCTAAAAGAAGAAAGTGACTCGTCGTGGCAAAGTGAAGCAGACTGCCAAAAAAAATTACTTACTCCAACTCCTGAATCACCTGATGAACAAATGGAAGGGCAGATTGTGAGAACCCGTAATTTTTCCAATTTCTAGGTTTTATTATATTTCCAGGTTTTCTTATTTTCAATGGTTTGTTTTCTGCACTTTTTGTATCCGGAAAATTTTCTAGATAAATTTTATGAGTAAATATAATTTTTAAAATGATTTTTCTAGTATCGGTTAGTTTTTGAGAAATTAAGAGTGTATATCGAACGTGGGACCCACTAGTGCGAAAAGTTCGGAAAAATTCGACCAGTTCGGTTAAGTTTTGGATACTGGGTTTAATTTACCGGGTGTTATTAGATATTTAGAGGTGCCAAGTGCATAGGTGTGAGAAAGACAAAAAGGTTAGGCATGACATTAATGAGAGGGACAAGTGTCTTGACATGTGTCACTTGGAGATTAAATCCTACAATTGACTTACTATTCAACCTTTTACCAATTACTAAATAAAACCAAAAATTGACCAAATATCTTCCATTTTTCTTCAAGCTTGGCTGAATTTCTCTCTAGGAAAGGAAGAAAAAAACCTCTTCAACTTCTTGATTCTCTCTTGCTCAAATCCAAGAATTCAACCATCTAAACTTGTTTTTGTTCCATAGAAACACTTAAGGGAGTGATAGTGAGTTGTTTGGTGGAGTTTCTTGGAAAGTTAAGGTGACCAATAGCTCACTCTCTCTTGTTCTTAAGGTAAGTTGTGAAGAATCACCCTCCTTCTTTAATTGATGCTTAAATCATGATTAGTGGTGGTATAAGGTGCAACTTTATGGATTATTTCTTGGTTTTGGTTGAATTGGTGAAATTTATAATTTTTGGGGATTTTTCTGTTTCATATGAGTATGATTATGTGGTCATGTATGATGATTGGAAATGATGTTTAAGTACCCTATGAGGTGGAAAAAGTGGACAATTGCAATTAATTTCTGTTTTGGACCAAAAATTGAAAAATTAGGGTTCTTGATTCTTCATTCTGCCGAATTTATATCTCATAGTTAGAGGCCGAATTTGCCTTAGATCAAAACATGAAAGTTGTGGAGAATGATATTTTATAAGTGGCTACAAAATTTCAGATCACGGAGTAGTGTAGAATGAGATAAGTCGAAATTACTATTGCTGTTCTGGTTTTTATCCGAATCGAGATTTGCGACTGTAATTGGGTGTTTTGGTCTGAATTGCTTCCGAATTGGTTGTTGAGGCCTTGTGATGAAATTTAGCCCTGTTTCTTAGCTTTCAGCTGGTTTTGGAATTTCTGGATTTGGACTTGTAGAGCCTGAGTTATGATATTTCCGCTAGAATGTGTTTTTGGTGAATCTGTTTTACGTTTTTGATGTAGTATTTTGCATTTTTGACCTGTTTGCACTCAAAACTAGGCTGAATTACCTTCTGTGATGTTGTAGCCCTGTCTTTTAGCTTCGAAATGGTGGGTCTTAAACCTTCATCGCGATAATCATAGGGCATTTGGTGCCATTACCGCAAAAAGAGGTCAAAAACTGTTTTTCAAGGCCAAAGCTAATTGCATTTCCGAATTTTCTGGTTTTCTCTACTGTTTGTATATGTTCATGGAACCCTATTGGGGTCATATTTGGCATTGATTTATGATCAGTTATCGAGTCTCATTGTACTTGTTTGTATGTTTTAAGGCTTACTTTTATTCCGGTCATTTCCTAGTTAACTTTTACTTTGAGCCTAGTGAATGACTTTTGGGAAATGAGATGAATTGTGTTTGAGATGTTGGGACTGATTTGAGGAAATAATGAAGCCATGATGGCTGGAAAATAGTAAAAACAAGGATATGCTGCCGAAATTTTACTTGAAGGCTAGTTGGATTTACTTGTGATTTGAGCAAAGGGCTTTTGGGTTGTTTGCGCCTAAGTCTTCATGTTTTTTCGTTTCCAAGAAAATCATGTTTTCCACCCTTGCATTAGTATTTATTTGGCGAGGCATACGACTAGTAGTCGAGCCTCACATGTGCATTATGTTTACTCGATTCTGGAAGTGAAACCTTCAATTGGTTTATTTTGATTATTTTAGGGTTTCTTAGGCGATTAAGGCCAATCTGAAGTGAAAACTTTTGAAGTTGAGCCGGTGAGTGTAGCCACTCCCCTCCATTGCTGTTTAACTTGATTTCTGCCTGCAATCTGTTTAATTGTTTGAGACGAGGGTGTACTTTATCACACTCGTTCTCTGTCTGTTCATATGCCAATTTTGAGTGCCTATCTGAATCTGCCGTCTGAATCTGCTATCTGAATATGCTATTCTGTATCTGTATCTGAATCTGTTATCTGTGTCTGCATCTATTCGGATTTCTATGACCTATGAGCTCAATCCTGTGGCTAAGTTATTCGAGTCGGGCCGGCAAGGGCCTGGACGATTAGATAACGAACCATGGTAGTCTGTTCGGGGATTTTGGGTATTGAGACCCTTGATTCCGGTATACTCGAGTATTACTATTTCTGTTCGGTTACGGTGAGCGGGCCCGGTAAAGGGGTGTTTGGTGGACGGAATTCGGTGTGAAGAGGGGTCTACGGACGTTTTGGTTCTATATACGTTGACGGAGAGTCAACCGGTTTGGATCAAGTACTGCGCTGGAAATTTGGCTCCTGAGAGCCACCCGTATCCTTCTGATTTGAATCATTGGTTCCTTTGCTTTACATCTGGCATGTGTATCTGATTTGTAAAATGTGAAATGCCATGATTTTTCTGCTATATGTTTGGTACCTCATTGAGCGCAAGCTCACCCCTTTCTGTCCCTTTTGTTTTCCTTACAGGAAAATAAACACTTTTGGTCTGGATTTGACAAATGGCTGCCAAATTGAGCTAGTGGAACATATCTTTTGTATAGCTCATGTATTAAAACTCTAAGTGTACTTTTGGGGCATTTTCTCTTTTGATTTGGCAAACCGTGTATATGTATCAACTTTTGAAAACTTTTGTATGTCATTTCGGATTGTAATCGCTAAAGTTCAGATGTGAATGTTTGCGTGCTCTTTCGATTGGGTTCTGACGGGTCGGTTACTATTCATGGCCGACTCCCGATTTCATTTTTTTTATTTTGGGTTATTTAACATTTTAACTTGTTTCCACTCGTTTGTAAGTTCCGGATCGCAATAGATAGCTCTAGTCTGCACCGTTAGTCCTGGCGAGAGTTGGGCAGGCGGTCCGCCGAACCCTTTGGTTCGCCTTAGGGTGAGGTGGGGCTGTCACACAGATCTCTGAAGGGAACATTGCTGGTGGAAATGAGGAACCAGAGCAGGCTACCCAAGGTGATGAAACTGTCACAAGGTCTTCTAGTAAAAGAAAAAGGACTGCAAAGGGGAAGAGAACTCCCCAATCCAAGAAAAAGCAATCTGCTGATCCCTCTGTTGATCAGCAGAATGAAGAAAACATTACTGAGAGTCAGCCAGCACCTGAACCCTCCATCAGGAAGTCTCCATGGACAAGGACTGAGACTCAAAATATTGGTGCATCTGCCACTCAAACCTCTAAAGGGACACGTTCTGGGAAGAATCCAGTATCTCAGCCTGCACCTAAACCCGTTCCTCTACCAAAGTTCATCGATGATGAAGCCAGAGACAGATTTGAGTTAGTCTCTCAAAAAGGGTTCATCTGTGAGAACCCGTAATTTTTCCATTTTCTAGGTTTTATTATATTTCCAGGTTTTCTTATTTTCAATGGTTTGTTTTCTGCACTTTTTGTATCTGAAAAATTTTCTAGATAAATTTTATGAGTAAATATAATTTTTAAAATGATTTTTCTAGTATCGGTTAGTTTTTGAGAAATTAAGAGTGTATATCGGACGTGGGACCCACTAGTGCGAAAAGTTCGGAAAAATTCGGCCAGTTCGGTTAAGTTTTGGATACTAGATTTAATTTATCGGGTGTTATTAGATATTTAGAGGTGCCAAGTGCATAGGTGTGAGAAAGACAAAAAGGTTAGGCATGACATTAATGAGAGGGACAAGTGTCTTGACATGTATCACTTGGAGATTAAATCCTACAATTGACTTACTATTCAACCTTTTACCAATTACTAAATAAAACCAAAAATTGACCAAATATCTTCCATTTTTCTTCAAGCTTGGCTGAATTTCTCTCTAGGAAAGGAAGAAAGAAAACCTCTTCAACTTCTTGATTCTCTCTTGCTCAAATCCAAGAATTCAACCATCTAAACTTGTTTTTGTTCCATAGAAACACTTAAGGGAGTGATAGTGAGTTGTTTGGTGGAGTTTCTTGGAAAGTTAAGGTGACCAATAGCTCTCTCTCTCTTGTTCTTAAGGTAAGTTGTGAAGAATCACCCTCCTTCTTTAATTGATGCTTAAATCATGATTAGTGGTGGTATAAGGTGCAACTTTATGGATTATTTCTTGGTTTTGGTTGAATTGGTGAAATTTTATAATTTTTGGGGATTTTTCTGTTTTCATATGAGTATGATTATGTGGTCATGTATGATGATTGGAAATGATGTTTAAGGACTCTATGAGGTGGAAAAAGTGGACAATTGCAATCAATTTCTGTTTTGGACCAAAAATTGAAAAATTAGGGTTCTTGATTCTTCATTCTGCCCGAATTTATATCTCATAGTTAGAGGCCGAATTGGCCTTAGCTCAAAACATGAAAGTTGTGGATAATGATATTTTATAGGTGCCTACAAAATTTCAGATCAATCGGAGTAGTGTAGAATGAGATAAGTCGAAATTACTATTGCTGTTCTGGTTTTACCCGAAATTGGGATTTGTGACTGTTATTGGTTGTTTTTGTCTGGATCGCTTCCGAATTAGTTGTTGAGGCCTTCTGAAGAAATTACCCGTTTCTTAGCTTTCATCTGGTTTTGGAATTTCTGGATTTGGACTTGTAGAGCCTGAGTTATGATATTTCCGCTAGAATGTGTTTTGGTGAATCTGTTTTACGTTTTTGATGTAGTATTTTGCATTTTTGACCTGTTTGCACTCAAAACTGGGCTGAGTGACCTTCTGTGATGTTGTAGCCCTGTCTTTTAGCTTCGAAATGGTGGGTCTTACACCTTCATCCGATAATCATAGGGCATTTGGTGCCATTACCTCAAAAAGAGGTCAAAAACTATTTTTCAAGGCCAAAGCTAATTGCATTTCCGAATTTCTTTGTTTTCTCTACTGTTTGTATATGTTCATGGAACCCTATTGGGGTCATATTTGGCATTGATTATGATCAGTTATCGAGTCTCATTGTACTTGTTTGTATGTTTTAAGGCTTACTTTTATTCCGGTCATTTCCTAGTTAACTTTTACTTTGAGCCTAGTGAATGACTTTTGGGAAATGAGATGACTTTTGTGTGAGATGTTGGGACTGATTTGAGGAAATAATGAAGCCTTAATGGCTGGAAAAGTAAGGAATCCAGGGGAAGTGCTGCCCAATTTTCTAGGCCGTTTGGTTCTTTAAGTTGGATTTGCCTCTTGATAGAAATAAAAGGCTTTTGGGTTGTTTGGCACCTAGGTCTTCATGTTATCTTTTTGTTCCAAGAAAATCATGTTTTCCACCCCTCGCACTAGTATTTATTTGGCAAGGCGTACGACGTGTAGTCGAGCCTCACTTGCGCATTCCGTTTACTTGATTTTGGATGTGAAACCTTCAATTGGTTTATTTTGATTATTTTAGGGTTTTTGGCGATTAAGGCCAATCTGAAGTGAAAACTTTTGAAGTTGAACCGGTGAGTGTACCACTCTCTTCCATTGCTGTTTAACTTGATTTCTGCTCTGCAATCTGTTTAATTTGTTTGAGACGAGGGTGTACTTTATCACACTCGTTCTCTTGTCTGTTCATATGCCAATTTTGAGTGCCTATCTGAATCTGCCGTCTGAATCTGCTATCTGAATATGCTATTCTGTATCTGTATCTGAATCTGTTATCTGTGTCTGCATCTATTCGGATTTCTATGACCTATGAGCTCAATCCTGTGGCTAAGTTATTCGAGTCGGGCCGGCAAGGGCCTGGACGATTAGATAACGAACCATGGTAGTCTGTTCGGGGATTTTTGGGTATTGAGACCCTTGATTCCGGTATACTCGAGTATTACCATTTCTGTTCGGTTACGGTGAGCGGGCCCGGTAAAGGGGTGTTTGGTGGACGGAATTCGGTGTGAAGAGGGGTCTACGGACGTTTTGGTTCTATATACGTTGACGGAGAGTCAACCGGTTTGGATCAAGTACTGCGCTGGAAATTTGGCTCCTGAGAGCCACCCGTATCCTTCTGATTTGAATCATTGGTTCCTTTGCTTTACATCTGGCATGTGTATCTGATTTGTAAAATGTGAAATGCCATGATTTTTCTGCTATATTTTGGTACCTCATTGAGCGCAAGCTCACCCCTTTCTGTCCCTTTTGTTTTCCTTACAGGAAAATAAACACTTTTGGTCTGGATTTGACAAATGGCTGCCAAATTGAGCTAGTGGAACATATCTTTTGTATAGCTCATGTATTAAAACTCTAAGTGTACTTTTGGGGCGTTTTCTCTTTTGATTTGGCAAACCGTGTATATGTATCAACTTTTGAAAACTTTTGTATGTCATTTCGGATTGTAATCGCTAAAGTTCAGATGTGAATGTTTGCGTGCTCTTTCGATTGGGTTCTGACGGGTCGGTTACTATTCATGGCCGACTCCGATTTCATTTTTTTTTATTTTGGGTTATTTAACATTTTAACTTGTTTCCACTCGTTTGTAAGTTCCGGATCGCAATAGATAGCTCTAGTCTGCACCGTTAGTCCTGGCGAGAGTTGGGCAAGCGGTCCGCCGAACCCTTTGGTTCGCCTTAGGGTGAGGTGGGGCTGTCACACAGATCTCTGAAGGGAACATTGCTGGTGGAAATGAGGAACCAGAGCAGGCTACCCAAGGTGATGAAACTGTCACAAGGTCTTCTAGTAAAAGAAAAAGGACTGCAAAGGGAAGAGAACTCCCCAATCCAAGAAAAAGCAATCTGCTGATCCCTCTGTTGATCAGCAGAATGAAGAAAACATTACTGAGAGTCAGCCAACACCTGAACCCTCCATCAGGAAGTCTCCATGGACAAGGACTGAGACTCAAAATATTGGTGCATCTGCCACTCAAACCTCTAAAGGGACACGTTCTGGGAAGAATCCAGTATCTCAGCCTGCACCTAAACCCGTTCCTCTACCAAAGTTCATCGACGATGAAGCCAGAGACAGATTTGAGTTAGTCTCTCAAAAAGGGTTCATCTGTGAGAACCCGTAATTTTTCCATTTTCTAGGTTTTATTATATTTCCAGGTTTTCTTATTTTCAATGGTTTGTTTTCTGCACTTTTTGTATCCGAAAATTTTCTAGATAAATTTTATGAGTAAATATAATTTTTAAAATGATTTTTCTAGTATCGGTTAGTTTTTGAGAAATTAAGAGTGTATATCGGACGTGGGACCCACTAGTGCGAAAAGTTCGGAAAAATTCGGCCAGTTCGGTTAAGTTTTGGATACTAGATTTAATTTATCGGGTGTTATTAGATATTTAGAGGTGCCAAGTGCATAGGTGTGAGAAAGACAAAAAGGTTAGGCATGACATTAATGAGAGGGACAAGTGTCTTGACATGTGTCACTTGGAGATTAAATCCTACAATTGACTTACTATTCAACCTTTTACCAATTACTAAATAAAACCAAAAATTGACCAAATATCTTCCATTTTTCTTCAAGCTTGGCTGAATTTCTCTCTAGGAAAGGAAGAAAGAAAACCTCTTCAACTTCTTGATTCTCTCTTGCTCAAATCCAAGAATTCAACCATCTAAACTTGTTTTTGTTCCATAGAAACACTTAAGGGAGTGATAGTGAGTTGTTTGGTGGAGTTTCTTGGAAAGTTAAGGTGACCAATAGCTCTCTCTCTCTTGTTCTTAAGGTAAGTTGTGAAGAATCACCCTCCTTCTTTAATTGATGCTTAAATCATGATTAGTGGTGGTATAAGGTGCAACTTTATGGATTATTTCTTGGTTTTGGTTGAATTGGTGAAATTTTATAATTTTTGGGGATTTTTCTGTTTTCATATGAGTATGATTATGTGGTCATGTATGATGATTGGAAATGATGTTTAAGGACTCTATGAGGTGGAAAAAGTGGACAATTGCAATCAATTTCTGTTTTGGACCAAAAATTGAAAAATTAGGGTTCTTGATTCTTCATTCTGCCCGAATTTATATCTCATAGTTAGAGGCCGAATTGGCCTTAGCTCAAAACATGAAAGTTGTGGAGAATGATATTTTATAGGTGCCTACAAAATTTCAGATCAATCGGAGTAGTGTAGAATGAGATAAGTCGAAATTACTATTGCTGTTCTGGTTTTACCCGAAATTGGGATTTGTGACTGTTATTGGTTGTTTTTGTCTGGATTGCTTCCGAATTAGTTGTTGAGGCCTTCTGAAGAAATTTAGCCCGTTTCTTAGCTTTCATCTGGTTTTGGAATTTCTGGATTTGGACTTGTAGAGCCTGAGTTATGATATTTCCGCTAGAATGTGTTTTGGTGAATCTGTTTTACGTTTTTGATGTAGTATTTTGCATTTTTGACCTGTTTGCACTCAAAACTGGGCTGAGTGACCTTCTGTGATGTTGTAGCCCTGTCTTTTAGCTTCGAAATGGTGGGTCTTACACCTTCATCCGATAATCATAGGGCATTTGGTGCCATTACCGCAAAAAGAGGTCAAAAACTATTTTTCAAGGCCAAAGCTAATTGCATTTCCGAATTTTCTGGTTTTCTCTACTGTTTGTATATGTTCATGGAACCCTATTGGGGTCATATTTGGCATTGATTTATGATCAGTTATCGAGTCTCATTGTACTTGTTTGTATGTTTTAAGGCTTACTTTTATTCCGGTCATTTCCTAGTTAACTTTTACTTTGAGCCTAGTGAATGACTTTTGGGAAATGAGATGACTTTTGTGTGAGATGTTGGGACTGATTTGAGGAAATAATGAAGCCTTAATGGCTGGAAAAGTAAGGAATCCAGGGGAAGTGCTGCCCAATTTTCTAGGCCGTTTGGTTCTTTAAGTTGGATTTGCCTCTTGATAGAAATAAAAGGCTTTTGGGTTGTTTGGCACCTAGGTCTTCATGTTATCTTTTTGTTCCAAGAAAATCATGTTTTCCACCCTCGCACTAGTATTTATTTGGCAAGGCGTACGACGTGTAGTCGAGCCTCACTTGCGCATTCCGTTTACTTGATTTTGGATGTGAAACCTTCAATTGGTTTATTTTGATTATTTTAGGGTTTTTGGCGATTAAGGCCAATCTGAAGTGAAAACTTTTGAAGTTGAACCGGTGAGTGTACCACTCTCCATTGCTGTTTAACTTGATTTCTGCTCTGCAATCTGTTTAATTTGTTTGAGACGAGGGTGTACTTTATCACACTCGTTCTCTTGTCTGTTCATATGCCAATTTTGAGTGCCTATCTGAATCTGCCGTCTGAATCTGCTATCTGAATATGCTATTCTGTATCTGTATCTGAATCTGTTATCTGTGTCTGCATCTATTCGGATTTCTATGACCTATGAGCTCAATCCTGTGGCTAAGTTATTCGAGTCGGGCCGGCAAGGGCCTGGACGATTAGATAACGAACCATGGTAGTCTGTTCGGGGATTTTTGGGTATTGAGACCCTTGATTCCGGTATACTCGAGTATTACCATTTCTGTTCGGTTACGGTGAGCGGGCCCGGTAAAGGGGGTGTTTGGTGGACGGAATTCGGTGTGAAGAGGGGTCTACGGACGTTTTGGTTCTATATACGTTGACGGAGAGTCAACCGGTTTGGATCAAGTACTGCGCTGGAAATTTGGCTCCTGAGAGCCACCCGTATCCTTCTGATTTGAATCATTGGTTCCTTTGCTTTACATCTGGCATGTGTATCTGATTTGTAAAATGTGAAATGCCATGATTTTTCTGCTATATGTTTGGTACCTCATTGAGCGCAAGCTCACCCCTTTCTGTCCCTTTTGTTTTCCTTACAGGAAAATAAACACTTTTGGTCTGGATTTGACAAATGGCTGCCAAATTGAGCTAGTGGAACATATCTTTTGTATAGCTCATGTATTAAAACTCTAAGTGTACTTTTGGGGCGTTTTCTCTTTTGATTTGGCAAACCGTGTATATGTATCAACTTTTGAAAACTTTTGTATGTCATTTGGATTGTAATCGCTAAAGTTCAGATGTGAATGTTTGCGTGCTCTTTCGATTGGGTTCTGACGGGTCGGTTACTATTCATGGCCGACTCCGATTTCATTTTTTTTATTTTGGGTTATTTTACCATTTTAACTTGTTTCCACTCGTTTGTAAGTTCCGGATCGCAATAGATAGCTCTAGTCTGCACCGTTAGTCCTGGCGAGAGTTGGGCAGGCGGTCCGCCGAACCCTTTGGTTCGCCTTAGGGTGAGGTGGGCTGTCACACAGATCTCTGAAGGGAACATTGCTGGTGGAAATGAGGAACCAGAGCAGGCTACCCAAGGTGATGAAACTGTCACAAGGTCTTCTAGTAAAAGAAAAAGGACTGCAAAGGGGAAGAGAACTCCCCAATCCAAGAAAAAGCAATCTGCTGATCCCTCTGTTGATCAGCAGAATGAAGAAAACATTACTGAGAGTCAGCCAGCACCTGAACCCTCCATCAGGAAGTCTCCATGGACAAGGACTGAGACTCAAAATATTGGTGCATCTGCCACTCAAACCTCTAAAGGGACACGTTCTGGGAAGAATCCAGTATCTCAGCCTGCACCTAAACCCGTTCCTCTACCAAAGTTCATCGATGATGAAGCCAGAGACAGATTTGAGTTAGTCTCTCAAAAAGGGTTCATCTGTGAGAACCCGTAATTTTTCCATTTTCTAGGTTTTATTATATTTCCAGGTTTTCTTATTTTCAATGGTTTGTTTTCTGCACTTTTTGTATCTGAAAAATTTTCTAGATAAATTTTATGAGTAAATATAATTTTTAAAATGATTTTTCTAGTATCGGTTAGTTTTTGAGAAATTAAGAGTGTATATCGGACGTGGGACCCACTAGTGCGAAAAGTTCGGAAAAATTCGGCCAGTTCGGTTAAGTTTTGGATACTAGATTTAATTTATCGGGTGTTATTAGATATTTAGAGGTGCCAAGTGCATAGGTGTGAGAAAGACAAAAAGGTTAGGCATGACATTAATGAGAGGGACAAGTGTCTTGACATGTATCACTTGGAGATTAAATCCTACAATTGACTTACTATTCAACCTTTTACCAATTACTAAATAAAACCAAAAATTGACCAAATATCTTCCATTTTTCTTCAAGCTTGGCTGAATTTCTCTCTAGGAAAGGAAGAAAGAAAACCTCTTCAACTTCTTGATTCTCTCTTGCTCAAATCCAAGAATTCAACCATCTAAACTTGTTTTTGTTCCATAGAAACACTTAAGGGAGTGATAGTGAGTTGTTTGGTGGAGTTTCTTGGAAAGTTAAGGTGACCAATAGCTCTCTCTCTCTTGTTCTTAAGGTAAGTTGTGAAGAATCACCCTCCTTCTTTAATTGATGCTTAAATCATGATTAGTGGTGGTATAAGGTGCAACTTTATGGATTATTTCTTGGTTTTGGTTGAATTGGTGAAATTTTATAATTTTTGGGGATTTTTCTGTTTTCATATGAGTATGATTATGTGGTCATGTATGATGATTGGAAATGATGTTTAAGGACTCTATGAGGTGGAAAAAGTGGACAATTGCAATCAATTTCTGTTTTGGACCAAAAATTGAAAAATTAGGGTTCTTGATTCTTCATTCTGCCCGAATTTATATCTCATAGTTAGAGGCCGAATTGGCCTTAGCTCAAAACATGAAAGTTGTGGATAATGATATTTTATAGGTGCCTACAAAATTTCAGATCAATCGGAGTAGTGTAGAATGAGATAAGTCGAAATTACTATTGCTGTTCTGGTTTTACCCGAAATTGGGATTTGTGACTGTTATTGGTTGTTTTTGTCTGGATCGCTTCCGAATTAGTTGTTGAGGCCTTCTGAAGAAATATAACCCCGTTTCTTAGCTTTCATCTGGTTTTGGAATTTCTGGATTTGGACTTGTAGAGCCTGAGTTATGATATTTCCGCTAGAATGTGTTTTGGTGAATCTGTTTTACGTTTTTGATGTAGTATTTTGCATTTTTGACCTGTTTGCACTCAAAACTGGGCTGAGTGACCTTCTGTGATGTTGTAGCCCTATCTTTTAGCTTCGAAATGGTGGGTCTTACACCTTCATCCGATAATCATAGGGCATTTGGTGCCATTACCTCAAAAAGAGGTCAAAAACTATTTTTCAAGGCCAAAGCTAATTGCATTTCCGAATTTTTTGTTTTCTCTACTGTTTGTATATGTTCATGGAACCCTATTGGGGTCATATTTGGCATTGATTATGATCAGTTATCGAGTCTCATTGTACTTGTTTGTATGTTTTAAGGCTTACTTTTATTCCGGTCATTTCCTAGTTAACTTTTACTTTGAGCCTAGTGAATGACTTTTGGGAAATGAGATGACTTTTGTGTGAGATGTTGGGACTGATTTGAGGAAATAATGAAGCCTTAATGGCTGGAAAAGTAAGGAATCCAGGGGAAGTGCTGCCCAATTTTCTAGGCCGTTTGGTTCTTTAAGTTGGATTTGCCTCTTGATAGAAATAAAAGGCTTTTGGGTTGTTTGGCACCTAGGTCTTCATGTTATCTTTTTGTTCCAAGAAAATCATGTTTTCCACCCTCGCACTAGTATTTATTTGGCAAGGCGTACGACGTGTAGTCGAGCCTCACTTGCGCATTCCGTTTACTTGATTTTGGATGTGAAACCTTCAATTGGTTTATTTTGATTATTTTAGGGTTTTTGGCGATTAAGGCCAATCTGAAGTGAAAACTTTTGAAGTTGAACCGGTGAGTGTACCACTCTCTTCCATTGCTGTTTAACTTGATTTCTGCTCTGCAATCTGTTTAATTTGTTTGAGACGAGGGTGTACTTTATCACACTCGTTCTCTTGTCTGTTCATATGCCAATTTTGAGTGCCTATCTGAATCTGCCGTCTGAATCTGCTATCTGAATATGCTATTCTGTATCTGTATCTGAATCTGTTATCTGTGTCTGCATCTATTCGGATTTCTATGACCTATGAGCTCAATCCTGTGGCTAAGTTATTCGAGTCGGGCCGGCAAGGGCCTGGACGATTAGATAACGAACCATGGTAGTCTGTTCGGGGATTTTTGGGTATTGAGACCCTTGATTCCGGTATACTCGAGTATTACCATTTCTGTTCGGTTACGGTGAGCGGGCCGGTAAAGGGGTGTTTGGTGGACGGAATTCGGTGTGAAGAGGGGTCTACGGACGTTTTGGTTCTATATACGTTGACGGAGAGTCAACCGGTTTGGATCAAGTACTGCGCTGGAAATTTGGCTCCTGAGAGCCACCCGTATCCTTCTGATTTGAATCATTGGTTCCTTTGCTTTACATCTGGCATGTGTATCTGATTTGTAAAATGTGAAATGCCATGATTTTTCTGCTATATTTTGGTACCTCATTGAGCGCAAGCTCACCCCTTTCTGTCCCTTTTGTTTTCCTTACAGGAAAATAAACACTTTTGGTCTGGATTTGACAAATGGCTGCCAAATTGAGCTAGTGGAACATATCTTTTGTATAGCTCATGTATTAAAACTCTAAGTGTACTTTTGGGGCGTTTTCTCTTTTGATTTGGCAAACCGTGTATATGTATCAACTTTTGAAAACTTTTGTATGTCATTTCGGATTGTAATCGCTAAAGTTCAGATGTGAATGTTTGCGTGCTCTTTCGATTGGGTTCTGACGGGTCGGTTACTATTCATGGCCGACTCCGGATTTCATTTTTTTTATTTTGGGTTATTTTACCATTTTAACTTGTTTCCACTCGTTTGTAAGTTCCGGATCGCAATAGATAGCTCTAGTCTGCACCGTTAGTCCTGGCGAGAGTTGGGCAAGCGGTCCGCCAAACCCTTTGGTTCGCCTTAGGGTGAGGTGGGGCTGTCACACAGATCTCTGAAGGGAACATTGCTGGTGGAAATGAGGAACCAGAGCAGGCTACCCAAGGTGATGAAATTGTCACAAGGTCTTCTAGTAAAAGAAAAATGACTGCAAAGGGGAAGAGAACTCCCCAATCCAAGAAAAAGCAATCTGCTGATCCCTCTGTTGATCAGCAGAATGAAGAAAACATTACTGAGAGTCAGCCAACACCTGAACCCTCCATCAGGAAGTCTCCAAGGACAAGGACTGAGACTCAAAATGTTGGTGCATCTGCCACTCAAACCTCTAAAGGGACACGTTCTGGGAAGAATCCAGTATCTCAGCCTGCACCTAAACCCGTTCCTCTATCAAAGTTCATCGACGATGAAGCCAGAGACAGATTTGAGTTAGTCTCTCAAAAAGGGTTCATCTGTGAGAACCCGTAATTTTTCCATTTTCTAGGTTTTATTATATTTCCAGGTTTTCTTATTTTCAATGGTTTGTTTTCTGCACTTTTTGTATCCGAAAATTTTCTAGATAAATTTTATGAGTAAATATAATTTTTAAAATGATTTTTCTAGTATCGGTTAGTTTTTGAGAAATTAAGAGTGTATATCGGACGTGGGACCCACTAGTGCGAAAAGTTCGGAAAAATTCGGCCAGTTCGGTTAAGTTTTGGATACTGGGTTTAATTTATCGGGTGTTATTAGATATTTAGAGGTGCCAAGTGCATAGGTGTGAGAAAGACAAAAAGGTTAGGCATGACATTAATGAGAGGGACAAGTGTCTTGACATGTGTCACTTGGAGATTAAATCCTACAATTGACTTACTATTCAACCTTTTACCAATTACTAAATAAAACCAAAAATTGACCAAATATCTTCCATTTTTCTTCAAGCTTGGCTGAATTTCTCTCTAGGAAAGGAAGAAAGAAAACCTCTTCAACTTCTTGATTCTCTCTTGCTCAAATCCAAGAATTCAACCATCTAAACTTGTTTTTGTTCCATAGAAACACTTAAGGGAGTGATAGTGAGTTGTTTGGTGGAGTTTCTTGGAAAGTTAAGGTGACCAATAGCTCTCTCTCTCTTGTTCTTAAGGTAAGTTGTGAAGAATCACCCTCCTTCTTTAATTGATGCTTAAATCATGATTAGTGGTGGTATAAGGTGCAACTTTATGGATTATTTCTTGGTTTTGGTTGAATTGGTGAAATTTTATAATTTTTGGGGATTTTTCTGTTTTCATATGAGTATGATTATGTGGTCATGTATGATGATTGGAAATGATGTTTAAGGACTCTATGAGGTGGAAAAGTGGACAATTGCAATCAATTTCTGTTTTGGACCAAAAATTGAAAAATTAGGGTTCTTGATTCTTCATTCTGCCCGAATTTATATCTCATAGTTAGAGGCCGAATTGGCCTTAGCTCAAAACATGAAAGTTGTGGAGAATGATATTTTATAGGTGCCTACAAAATTTCAGATCAATCGGAGTAGTGTAGAATGAGATAAGTCGAAATTACTATTGCTGTTCTGGTTTTACCCGAAATTGGGATTTGTGACTGTTATTGGTTGTTTTGGTCTGGATTGCTTCCGAATTAGTTGTTGAGGCCTTCTGAAGAAATTTAGCCCTGTTTCTTAGCTTTCATCTGGTTTTGGAATTTCTGGATTTGGACTTGTAGAGCCTGAGTTATGATATTTCCGCTAGAATGTGTTTTGGTGAATCTGTTTTACGTTTTTGATGTAGTATTTTGCATTTTTGACCTGTTTGCACTCAAAACTGGGCTGAGTGACCTTCTGTGATGTTGTAGCCCTGTCTTTTAGCTTCGAAATGGTGGGTCTTACACCTTCATCCGATAATCATAGGGCATTTGGTGCCATTACCGCAAAAAGAGGTCAAAAACTTTTTTCAAGGCCAAAGCTAATTGCATTTCCGAATTTTCTGGTTTTCTCTACTGTTTGTATATGTTCATGGAACCCTATTGGGGTCATATTTGGCATTGATTTATGATCAGTTATCGAGTCTCATTGTACTTGTTTGTATGTTTTAAGGCTTACTTTTATTCCGGTCATTTCCTAGTTAACTTTTACTTTGAGCCTAGTGAATGACTTTTGGGAAATGAGATGACTTTTGTGTGAGATGTTGGGACTGATTTGAGGAAATAATGAAGCCTTAATGGCTGGAAAAGTAAGGAATCCAGGGGAAGTGCTGCCCAATTTTCTAGGCCGTTTGGTTCTTTAAGTTGGATTTGCCTCTTGATAGAAATAAAAGGCTTTTGGGTTGTTTGGCGCCTAGGTCTTCATGTTATCTTTTTGTTCCAAGAAAATCATGTTTTCCACCCTCGCACTAGTATTTATTTGGCAAGGCGTACGACGTGTAGTCGAGCCTCACTTGCGCATTCCGTTTACTTGATTTTGGATGTGAAACCTTCAATTGGTTTATTTTGATTATTTTAGGGTTTTTGGCGATTAAGGCCAATCTGAAGTGAAAACTTTTGAAGTTGAACCGGTGAGTGTACCACTCCCCTCCATTGCTGTTTAACTTGATTTCTGCTCTGCAATCTGTTTAATTTGTTTGAGACGAGGGTGTACTTTATCACACTCGTTCTCTTGTCTGTTCATATGCCAATTTTGAGTGCCTATCTGAATCTGCCGTCTGAATCTGCTATCTGAATATGCTATTCTGTATCTGAATCTGTTATCTGTGTCTGCATCTGTTCGGATTTCTATGACCTATGAGCTCAATCCTGTGGCTAAGTTATTCGAGTCGGGCCGGCAAGGGCCTGGACGATTAGATAACGAACCACGGTAGTCTGTTCGGGGATTTTTGGGTATTGAGACCCTTGATTCCGGTATACTCGAGTATTACCATTTCTGTTCGGTTACGGTGAGCGGGCCCGGTAAAGGGGGTGTTTGGTGGACGGAATTCGGTGTGAAGAGGGGTCTACGGACGTTTTGGTTCTATATACGTTGACGGAGAGTCAACCGGTTTGGATCAAGTACTGCGCTGGAAATTTGGCTCCTGAGAGCCACCCGTATCCTTCTGATTTGAATCATTGGTTCCTTTGCTTTACATCTGGCATGTGTATCTGATTTGTAAAATGTGAAATGCCATGATTTTTCTGCTATATGTTTGGTACCTCATTGAGCGCAAGCTCACCCCTTTCTGTCCCTTTTGTTTTCCTTACAGGAAAATAAACACTTTTGGTCTGGATTTGACAAATGGCTGCCAAATTGAGCTAGTGGAACATATCTTTTGTATAGCTCATGTATTAAAACTCTAAGTGTACTTTTGGGGCGTTTTCTCTTTTGATTTGGCAAACCGTGTATATGTATCAACTTTTGAAAACTTTTGTATGTCATTTTGGATTGTAATCGCTAAAGTTCAGATGTGAATGTTTGCGTGCTCTTTCGATTGGGTTCTGACGGGTCGGTTACTATTCATGGCCGACTCCGGATTTCATTTTTTTTATTTTGGGTTATTTTACCATTTTAACTTGTTTCCACTCGTTTGTAAGTTCCGGATCGCAATAGATAGCTCTAGTCTGCATCGTTAGTCCTGGCGAGAGCTGGGCAGGCGGTCCGCCGAACCCTTTGGTTCGCCTTAGGGTGAGGTGGGGCTGTCACAGGTGGTATCAGAGCCTGCTTCGCGTGGTCTCTGCGCGGAGTGAGCCTGGACTAAGTGGTGAATAGGTATGAAGGAATAAGTGCTCGTTTGAGCGCTAAGCTCTGAATTATGAACGTTATAGGCCTTAAAACTTTTCCGTGGTAATTGAGGACCATAGATAGGTACGTCTGGTAGGAATTTCGATTGTAGATGGTTTACTCTTGGGACTGGCCAGCTCGAGAGGTGAATTGTCTTATTTCGGATTCTTGTGCCTGAGTACTCCAGAGTTGAGGCGGTGTTAAGTATGTGAGATTTGCATTTTGGGAACATGAATGGGCTTTGTTCGGCTGGAATGAGTCCAAGAGGTTATTGGATATCTAGTTTGCATAGTAAGTGACGTGAGGGATCGGACGGGGTTATTTTAATTGGGTCTGGGACTAGGTCTGGTTACTTTAAATTTTGAAGGTAAAATTTCGAGGGCGAAATTCTTTAAGGGGGAGAGAGTGTGAGAACCCGTAATTTTTCCATTTTCTAGGTTTTATTATATTTCCAGGTTTTCTTATTTTCAATGGTTTGTTTTCTGCACTTTTTGTATCCGGAAAAATTTTCTAGATAAATTTTATGAGTAAATATAATTTTTAAAATGATTTTTCTAGTATCGGTTAGTTTTTGAGAAATTAAGAGTGTATATCGGACGTGGGACCCACTAGTGCGAAAAGTTCGGAAAAATTCGGCCAGTTCGGTTAAGTTTTGGATATATTTAATTTACCGGGTGTTATTAGATATTTAGAGGTGCCAAGTGCATAGGTGTGAGAAAGACAAAAAGGTTAGGCATGACATTAATGAGAGGGACAAGTGTCTTGACATGTGTCACTTGGAGATTAAATCCTACAATTGACTTACTATTCAACCTTTTACCAATTACTAAATAAAACCAAAAATTGACCAAATATCTTCCATTTTTCTTCAAGCCTGGCTGAATTTCTCTCTAGGAAAGGAAGAAAGAAAACCTCTTCAACTTCTTGATTCTCTCTTGCTCAAATCCAAGAATTCAACCATCTAAACTTGTTTTTGTTCCATAGAAACACTTAAGGGAGTGATAGTGAGTTGTTTGGTGGAGTTTCTTGGAAAGTTAAGGTGACCAATAGCTCTCTCTCTCTTGTTCTTAAGGTAAGTTGTGAAGAATCACCCTCCTTCTTTAATTGATGCTTAAATCATGATTAAGGTGCAACTTTATGGATTATTTCTTGGTTTTGGTTGAATTGGTGAAATTTTATAATTTTGGGGGATTTTTCTGTTTTCATATGAGTATGATTATGTGGTCATGTATGATGATTGGAAATGATGTTTAAGGACTCTATGAGGTGGAAAAAGTGGACAATTGCAATCAATTTCTGTTTTGGACCAAAAATTGAAAAATTAGGGTTCTTGATTCTTCATTCTGCCCGAATTTATATCTCATAGTTAGAGGCCGAATTGGCCTTAGCTCAAAACATGAAAGTTGTGGAGAATGATATTTTATAGGATGCCTACAAAATTTCAGATCAATCGGAGTAGTGTAGAATGAGATAAGTCGAAATTACTATTGCTGTTCTGGTTTTACCGAAATTGGGATTTGTGACTGTTATTGGTTGTTTTTGTCTGGATTGCTTCGCGAATTAGTTGTTGAGGCCTTCTGAAGAAATTTAGCCCTGTTTCTTAGCTTTCATCTGGTTTTGAATTTCTGGATTTGGACTTGTAGAGCCTGAGTTATGATATTTCCGCTAGAATGTGTTTTGGTGAATCTGTTTTACGTTTTTGATGTAGTATTTTGCATTTTTGACCTGTTTGCACTCAAAACTGGGCTGAGTGACCTTCTGTGATGTTGTAGCCCTGTCTTTTAGTTCGAAATGGTGGGTCTTACACCTTCATCCGATAATCATAGGGCATTTGGTGCCATTACCGCAAAAAGAGGTCAAAAACTGTTTTTCAAGGCCAAAGCTAATTGCATTTCCGAATTTTCTGGTTTTCTCTACTGTTTGTATATGTTCATGGAACCCTATTGGGGTCATATTTGGCATTGATTTATGATCAGTTATCGAGTCTCATTGTACTTGTTTGTATGTTTTAAGGCTTACTTTTATTCCGGTCATTTCCTAGTTAACTTTTACTTTGAGCCTAGTGAATGACTTTTGGGAAATGAGATGACTTTTGTGTGAGATGTTGGGACTGATTTGAGGAAATAATGAAGCCTTAATGGCTGGAAAGTAAGGAATCCAGGGGAAGTGCTGCCCAATTTTCTAGGCCGTTTGGTTCTTTAAGTTGGATTTGCCTCTTGATAGAAATAAAAGGCTTTTGGGTTGTTTGGCGCCTAGGTCTTCATGTTATCTTTTTGTTCCAAGAAAATCATGTTTTCCACCCTCGCACTAGTATTTATTTGGCAAGGCGTACGACGTGTAGTCGAGCCTCACTTGCGCATTCCGTTTACTTGATTTTGGATGTGAAACCTTCAATTGGTTTATTTTGATTATTTTAGGGTTTTTGGCGATTAAGGCCAATCTGAAGTGAAAACTTTTGAAGTTGAACCGGTGAGTGTACCACTCCCCTCCATTGCTGTTTAACTTGATTTCTGCTCTGCAATCTGTTTAATTTGTTTGAGACGAGGGTGTACTTTATCACACTCGTTCTCTTGTCTGTTCATATGCCAATTTTGAGTGCCTATCTGAATCTGCCGTCTGAATCTGCTATCTGAATATGCTATTCTGTATCTGTATCTGAATCTGTTATCTGTGTCTGCATCTGTTCGGATTTCTATGACCTATGAGCTCAATCCTGTGGCTAAGTTATTCGAGTCGGGCGGCAAGGCCTGGATTTTGGGTATTGAGACCCTTGATTCCGGTATACTCGAGTATTACCATTTCTGTTCGGTTACGGTGAGCGGGCCCGGTAAAGGGGGTGTTTGGTGGACGGAATTCGGTGTGAAGAGGGTCTACGGACGTTTTGGTTCTATATACGTTGACGGAGAGTCAACCGGTTTGGATCAAGTACTGCGCTGGAAATTTGGCTCCTGAGAGCCACCCGTATCCTTCTGATTTGAATCATTGGTTCCTTTGCTTTACATCTGGCATGTGTATCTGATTTGTAAAATGTGAAATGCCATGATTTTTCTGCTATATGTTTGGTACCTCATTGAGCGCAAGCTCACCCCTTTCTGTCCCTTTTGTTTTCCTTACAGGAAAATAAACACTTTTGGTCTGGATTTGACAAATGGCTGCCAAATTGAGCTAGTGGAACATATCTTTTGTATAGCTCATGTATTAAAACTCTAAGTGTACTTTTGGGGCGTTTTCTCTTTTGATTTGGCAAACCGTGTATATGTATCAACTTTTGAAAACTTTTGTATGTCATGTATTGGATTGTAATCGCTAAAGTTCAGATGTGAATGTTTGCGTGCTCTTTCGATTGGGTTCTGACGGGTCGGTTACTATTCATGGCCGACTCCGGATTTCATTTTTTTTATTTTGGGTTATTTTACCATTTTAACTTGTTTCCACTCGTTTGTAAGTTCCGGATCGCAATAGATAGCTCTAGTCTGCATCGTTAGTCCTGGCGAGAGCTGGGCAGGCGGTCCGCCGAACCCTTTGGTTCGCCTTAGGGTGAGGTGGGGCTGTCACATCATCACCCAAAGGCTCATCATTCCTTTTGAATTTCGTAAGCTTGATTTTGAACCTGTCATCAAACTCTTTGAATTCCAGAAATGGACTCATCTTCTGACCATTCCTAATGTTTTTTATCCTGACATGCTTTATCAATTTTTTGCTAATCTTAGAAAGGGTACATCACACACTGAACTCGTCTCTAGGGTTAACGCTGTAGACATCATGTTAACTCCTGACATTGTGAATTCTATTCTGAAAACTAGTATTGAACCTGGTTTTAAGGGAAAAATTGCAAATTTCTTTTTCGTATGAGGAATTCCCTTCTGCCTATCATCATTTTTACAATGCTAAACTCATGACTTATTTTCAAACCAAATTCAACACCCCTGCTGAGGCAAGATTGGATGATCTCAGTCCTCAGAATCTGATCATCTTCACCATCATTTCGAATCTGTTGGTGCCAACTGATGGCCACAGAACAGATGCAAACAAAATGGAACTCTATCTTTTCTACTGCTTTGTTGAAAAAATCCGCATTGACTTTGGATTTGTAATGTGCAAATTTCTGCTCAAAATCAGCACTGATAGTCGTAGGAAGCTTTCCTATGGCAGATTTCTGACCCCCATTTTTGCTCATTTTGACATACCCTTTTCTGGCAAATCTCCAAAAGACAGTGCTTCATCAGTGTTCTCCAAAGCTTATTTTGAAAGAAAGAACCTAAAATTTTTTGATGGTCATTGGTGCTACAAGGAGACTGTGGCCGAGTCTAGAAGAAAAAATTTGCATGAAACCCCTGCCACTCCTAGAACTCCCCATGATCAGTCAGGCTATGTTTCTCCTTTCACCATTCATCCTAGAAAGTCTGCTAGTAAGTCCTTCTCTTCCAACTCTGAGGTCATCTCCTTGCTTGAAGACCTCAAACAGCATGTCATGCTTCTTGAAGATGGTCTCATGATGACCATGACCTCTGCCCAACAATCATCTTTCCTTGAAAAAAGGAATCTTCTTGTGCCCCTATACCTGAGACAAATGAGACTGCTCATCAGAAAGAACCAAGATCTGAGCCCACAAGGCCAACTACTGGTAATGAGACCACACCAGCTTCCAGTTCTCAGCCCAAGGATAAAGGCAAGGCTCCAGTAACTGAGGAAGCATTTGAAGATGATGATGAACAAACTGACGAAGAAGAGGACCCTGAACAGTACCGTCTGGCCAGGAGGAGGCCTGGATCATCTAAGATCACCATCTAGGCACTACTAGGTCACTGCACCTAAACCTAGGACTATAGTTCATCTTTTGCATTGCACTTTTGTACTAAGTGTTGAACACCTGGTCTGTACAATTGGATATTTTCTACTATTTATGAATGTTTTAACCAAGTGCTTGTTATGAATGCTTTGAATGGATGTTATGATTGGTTATATGTTTTTGAAATCTGTTCAATGAGTGAATGTTTCTGTTTAACATCTGCTACATGATTGAGTCCAAACTGTGCTGTACATTGTAAATGAATACACTGATAATGTTTCTGATGGGACGTACTGCTGGTTCCAAAACTGACACTCAATCTTGTGATGACAAAAAGGGGGAGAATTGGAATTGGATTTGGTTTAACACTGATAGTATAGAGTATCTAGTTAGGGGAGACAGTCTCAGGGGGAGTTGAGCTGGATCAGCACTGATGATGTGGATTGCGTTTCTTCCTATATACTACTCATGCACTTCGTTAGGGGGAGCTGTTATATTTTGTGCTCTATCCAATTGTTTTGTCATCACCAAAAAGGGGGAGATTGTTTATCTCAATTCATATCTTTTGATGATTACAAAACAATTGGATGTTTCTAACACCTTTTGTAGAGATCCTTTTCAGAAATAAACCAAACAGGTCTGTGGATTTAAAGCAGAAAAAGAAGATAAAAAAAGAATGAAGTCTGCTGAGGATGATGTCGGACGCACAAAAGGAGAATATCGGACGTCCGATATTCTTTGAGTATCTTCGGACGAGTAAAGAACTCAGACTCGGACGTCCGAAAAAGACAAATCAGGAGTTACTCGATTACTGATCAGGTTCGGAAGCTCAACACCTGTGTATCGGACGTCCGACAAACGTTGCTGCTCTTCGGACGCAACACTCTGTGATAGAACGCTAATTTAGCATTAATTTTGTTATAATTTCCCTTTCTTATTGGATTGGATATTGCATTAATAGACATATTTTGTTTGAATTGTATGTTTAGGGGATGTTTATCCAATTGGAGAAGGAAAGTGCAGAAATAGCAGCTTTTAGAAGATTTTCCTCCAAGTAAGTGTGGACGCATGAGAAGACATCAATCAAGCTTGGAGTGTGTGGGATTCTATGCAGGGCAGTATCCTAATTCAAGTGGGAGTCGTCATCACAACTGGAAGATGATATTATCTGCCAAGTTTCTAATTAGTAATTGGGTTGGTTTAGGAGACTTTTAAGCACTTTGTTTTGCTATCTTTTAGGAGTTAGTTTTCCTATGGTAGGAGATTTCTTTGGCATCAATCACTACGGATTGTGAAGGAGGAAGTTGAATGCGTTTTAGAAAGCTAGAAAATAGGAAAAGAAGGCCGGATCCCGCCTGAATAAGAGTTCGGTCAGCAACAAAATTGAGGACGGCTTGTCTTTGTATTTTTCCCTTTTGGCCGACATTTTTGCTTTCGTTCCTTGGCCGATTTGGCCAGGAAGAATTTTGTAAGCTTCAGATTGCTTTTTCGCATGGTTATTCTCCATTAATGGAGGACTAAGTTCTTATTGCTAGTCAAGGGGACAACTGAAGATTTGGTTCAACAATTTCTGTGAGATCTAATTTATTTTAATTGCTTCCTCCATTTATTGGTATTCATATGTTTCCTGCTTTTAACTGTTATAGCTCGTGTGAATGATTGAATAGATGCGCAATATTTAATTATTCACATAGGCTATTTTGCTAAATAGGGATAATTGAATCCGTAATTGTTCGTTATCTTTATCTCAGTAGCAACTGGCGTAATTGGGTTTATGTCAGGGGAACATACGATCTAATTTAAACAAACCCTCGTAGCGTGTTTATTAGTTAGGATTGGGCCTTTCTAATTATTAATGCAATCTAGAAATTAAATCCTACGGTCGTACCTAGGATTGTTTTTGGGTTAGAGAAATAGTTAACGGTCGTACCTTGACTATCGATAAATTAAGGAAGGGTTGGTTGTTTATCGCGTGTATGACAACTATAACTGATCTATTAATAAATGTGGAATTATCTGTGAATCGATGATCAGTGCCTGAACCATTTCTGATGTGTACCCTTGGCTAGAGTTTCCCCAATTATTTCTTTTAATTAATTATTTTCTGCAGTTAATTTATTTAGTTAGCATTTAATCCAAAACCCCCATACTTTGAACTCTAGAAGAAACGAATTATCCCCAATCCCTGTGGATTCGACCCTACTCACCGCTATATACAAAATCTGTATTTTTCTCGAGTAGATATTTATTATTGCACAGGTTCGGCACCTGTCAATTTTTGGCGCCGTTGCCGGGGACTGGTGCCAGATTAATTTGTTTCTTTTTGAGTTCATCTTGTTTTTATTTTTATTTATTTATTTTTCTCTTATTTTTTTTATTATATAGTTTATGGCTTCTAACACTCCGTATTTTGGTGATTTACTGGATTTTGTTTCCGAGGAAGGCAATGAGACTGATTGTTTTTCTAAGTTTGCATATTTAGAGGCACTAAACTCTATTAGAGAAAGAATGGCTGCTGCAACCTGTGAAATTTGTTATGCCAGGGATCATTCGACCGATATGTGCCCCGAATATCAAGATAATTTGAGTGTCCCACTCAATAATTATGGAGATTTTTCACCATGGTCTCAAACGTGGTATAACCCTAATCCAAACGGGCATGATCAAGGATGGTGGGATAACTCCAGTTATAATTATACAACAGGGCCAATGAATTTTCAGCAGTACGAGTCTCAAGAATCATCATCTATGTCAGGTATGTCTCTTGAAGAAATAGTTGAATTAATAGCTACTAACACATATCAAATTCAACAGGAGACACATCAACTTCAACAGGAGATAATAGATTTTCATCAAGAGACACAAGTGAACAGGCGTAACCTAGCAGATCAAATGGATCAATTGACATTTAGGATAACGTCATTGGCTTCTCGAATGACTGAAGAAGTGCCCTCACCGACTATTATCGACCATGAAGAAGATGAGAGTGCAATTATTCTGACAAATGACATGGTACTGCAAGAGTCTCAAGAAGAAGAATCTAAAGATGCAGTTGAAAAGAAAGTTGAAGAGCAAAAATTGAGACCCCAACATCAAATGGTTCAAGTGAATGAATCCAGTGAACAATCTCCAAATGCGGTGACATCTCCTCCATTCCTTGATCAATATTTTCCTGACTCTTATTCTTTAATTTCTGTTAGTGAGATTGATTTTATTATACCAGACGATTTTGAATTTCATGCCAGGAATAAGTTAAGAGTCATGATGGCAAAATATCTCGAACAAATAAGTGCTCTTGATGGAGGAGTAAGTGAAGATTTAAGATCATCACTTGTTTGTTTGGTGCCATTTACTAGTCCACGGAAGCCCGTAGCTCGTGTGCTCAAAAATTACTCTATTTACGAGGGCTATCAGGATTACATAGAAGATGAAGCATTGAAGTGAGCTACGCGATTTTATCCTCCATGAATAAATAGGACAATGTCTAGCCAAAGACATTAAAGAAAGGCGCTGCTTGGGAGGCAACCCAAGGCTTTTGTTTTAATTTTCTTATGTTTTTGGAGTTTTTGTTAAGTGTTAGTGTCAATTAATAGTTTGATGTTTGGTGACAGGAAATTAGCAGGTAGACGTGCCCACGCCAGGTGGTCACGCCTGAGGGAAAGAAATTTTCGTTCAAGATCTGCGGACTCTATAGCAGTTAAGCGTGCCCACGCCAGGTGGTCACGCCTGAGGGAAAGAAATTTTCGTTCAGGATCTGCGGACTCTGTAGCAGTTGAGCGTGCCCACGCTAAGTGGTCACGCTAACGGATCGAGAATTTTCGACGGATGGTCAAAAGACTAGGGGCAGTAAGGCGTGCCTATGCCTAAGCCAGAGGTTAAAAAAAAAAAAAATTCAAAGGCCCGTAGCCCTATTTGCTTTCTTCTTCTTTCTTTTCTTTTTCTTTCTTCTTCCTTTTCTTTCTTTTTCTTCTTGCTTCTTCTTCGGCAGCCACCCACTTGTCCGCCACTGCCCACCGCGCCAAGCCCACATCGCGCCCTCTTCCTACACGCCGGCGGACAGCACACAGCAACCAGCAACCTCGTCGCGCGCCGCCGCACTCGCCACTAGTCGCGCACCTCGTCGCGCGTCGTACCTCCTCTGCCAGCGGCTGTCCGAGCGCCATCCTCAGCCCGTGCTGTCAGCGCTCACCCAGTCCCAGTGCACATCATCTGCAGCTTCCTCATACAATCCCCTCGCAGCAGCCAGTCCGCGCGAGTTAGCCCTTCGCTCAGCAACCAGGCGCCCTCTGCGCGTTCCAAACAAGCAGCTGAGCCCATCGCGCCAGCCGTCACCTCTGCTCATCGCACGCGCGGTGCAATCCGCCACCTTTTTGCTGCCTCTGCTCTCCACTGTCATCCACTGCCTACTCCAAACCTCCGGTGAATTCTTTCTTTATTTTTCTGTCACTAAGTAGCTGAGGCCAGATTACTAGCTTTTATTAGCTGATGCCAGAGTTTTACTTTCTTAGCTGAGGACAGAAAATTTGTGCTTGTTTGGGTACTGTGACATATCTGTGGATTGATTGTTGATTATTTGGTTAACGTTGTGCCCAACCAGTGATATTTGGGGAAAGTTTTTACTCTAGTTGCCTGTTTAATTAGTTTTTGGGGAATTTTGCTGTGTTTATCTAATTAATTGATTTTTGGGTTGAATTGGTAGTATTTGGAAAAAATTTTGTCGTTCACAGGTTTAATTAGTTTTGGGGTGAGTTTATTATCCGTTTCTGCACTTGTTTGTGACTGGGATCATTTGCCTTGTTGGTTGTTTGTTGACATATTTTGAACACCATTACTTTGCCTTTGTCTTGTCCACTGATATCCAATGACCAAACCCAAGAACAAAGGCAAGAGCAAACCTTCCACCTCTACCCCACTGGCCACAGTCCCCTCGAGTGGATCTGCCCCCTCGATTTGACCGA